GGCGCTGGGGCTGCTCTTCTCCCCTCCCTCGCAAGGGCCATCAGCGGCAGGGAGGGAGAGGAGGTGGGGCTCAACGCAGCACGCTGGGGGAAGAGGCGGGGGAGGGGGAAGCTTGGCTGCCGGTGGAGCCTGCCCTACAGCAGCAGCCGGCAGGACCAAGCTTGCTTCTGCCCCCTGCCCCTGCCAAAGAGAGCGGTAGGTGGGGGGTGGAGAAGAACAGGCTGGGTCGGGCAGGATTTTTAATGGCACACTGCTGCCTGCTGGGGTCCGGCTCAGCCTGCTGCCGGGGTTCGCCAACGGGCTGAGTGGGACCCTGGCGGGCAGCAGCGTGCCATTAAAAATCAGCACGCATGCCATAGGTTGTCGACCCCTGCTCTAGGGCTTGGTTCACAGAGGGTTGTGGGAGAACTTGTCTGTCTGTCCCATGGGAGTTAATTGAGAGTGTTTTGGGTGGTTTTACCCCATGAACACATCCTGCCAACCCATTTTGTGTCTGTATACTCCCAGCAGCCAGAGCAAAAGGGGTACTGTCATTCCAGCAGCAACCCAGTTGATGCTGCTCATGCCTTTTGCCTTAGTCACAGATTTCCCCTATGTATACCAGTGCTTCTGGAGCAGGGCCACAAGCACAGATTGGTTGGATCACATTGTCATGTGGACATGGGAATGAACAGCAGTAGGTCCTGAACTTTCGCATGAAGAAGCAGATGTTCCTGGAGGTTTGTGATCAGCCTTCCCTATCTTCCAGCACCAGGACACCCATATAACGGAGGTCATGCTGGTCCAAACAGAGATCACTATAGCCATGTATGCTGGCTACCCCAGACTGCTACAGTTTGGAACTGGCAAATCAATTGTGAGGGTTGTTGTGGCAGAGGTTTCTGAGCAGAGGATGTACCCAAAGTTGATGGGCATTACAAATGTTCCTGAAATAATTGCTGGCTTTCAGTGAATGAGTTTTCCAATCTGTGCCGGGACCATGCAGGGACTCATGCCTATAAATTATACACTGGAAGCATGAGTACATAAGCCACAAAGGTACTACTCCATCATTATGCAGGCCCTGGTCAACCACAGGGGCAGATTCATGGAATTAATGTCAGATACACTGGCAGGGTGCATGATGCCAGGGTGTTCCAGAGATCAAGACTTTACCATCATGGAGAAGCTGGAACATTATTCCCATTGAATGACATTCTGATAAATGGAGTCACTGTCCCTACTGTTATTCTAGGAGATCCCACTTACCTGTTGACATGGCTTATGAAACCATATCCTCATTTCAAAGGACCTAGCAAAAGAAGGTTCAGCTATACACTCAGTAGCTGTAGGAAGGTCCTGGAATGGGACGTTAACATCGTTGACTTGCTGCTTTATTCACTCTCTACACTGTTCTGCTGTCCAACTGATCTCCAACACTGCCATCCGCTTGGATACAGTTTTGTAGACCTGATCATTTCTTGTGCTCTTGATGAAGTTGAACGTTTTTCCCACCTTGCACCAGAGTTTAACTAGAATCCAGCTCTGTTTCTCTGGTCAGCTAGCAATGCGCTTGATGCAGGACCTGATCTTACTGCTGGCCATTCAAATACATGCTGGCATTGACTGTGTTTCCAGTGGAGCAGTCCATGTGGAAGTGAAGGATTAAATGCCAAACAGCTGCATTTGAACCAGGAGGTTGCTTTCAGTTCCTGGGAAGTGAGTGGAAAGCTTTGGGATTGAAGGGCTAGGAAACACAGTTGCAGAGAACTGGGGGATATCATTGTTGGACTCTCCAAACCTGAATGTGGCAACCTGGACTTGACCTCGCAGCCACATAGCAATGCCTGAGGCTTTGAATCATTTCAAGGGGGATTGAGGCTCTGACACACACCTCCCCCCTGCCAGTAGGGTCTGTGGGTCTGAGTGAATGATTTCAATGTGGACAGAAACGGGGCTTGACCTTAAACCTGTGTCAGAGCCCGGGGTTAGTGAGTGTAGACATACCCTACTATCTGGGCCGCCTAGAAATGTGAGTTGAGAGCAGCACTTCAACATAGCATATAGATCTGAATACATTTTGATCTACTCCCCTGAGTGTTAGAAGTGGTTGGAATATTAGCAGATGATGTACAGTGGCAGCATCAGACAACCCATAACCATCTTTTTTCAAACTATAATGAACTTCTGGGAGCTCTGTGCAAAGCCTGATATTGGAAACTGCCACTCATTCAAGGTGCAGAGAAATTAGTTTCCTACTGTACATATGTATTTTTGAAATTTATGTTGTAATCAAATTCTTTTAAGCCACAGAATAATAATACTGTCTTTATCCTTACCTTGAATTCTTTGATGCTCGTATATATACTTATGGCGGCCATTTCATTCTCTCCACTGGGTTTAGAGTCAGTTACGATCTCTATTACCTGCTCCAAAGCTAATCTCATTCGGTGAAACACTCCTTCTTTGTTTAAACAAGCAGATTCACAGTCAGGATGCCTCAGACATGTCTTTAAAAATAAATTTAACATATTACCCAAAAGTCCACGTGTGGTATAATGAAATAAATACTCATTTCTATACCCAGCCTAAAGCAAAAATGTTTAATGTTATTACAAATTCCTTCAATTAACTTACTATTGCACATGACAACATTTTTAGCATTACTCATGGAAAAGCCTCTCCCCAACATCATTTTACATTCAAATTTCTTTTGTTGCAATCTTTATAAATATAGCTGTGGAAACAGGGTTACCTTATTCTGCCAGCTACTATAATCTGTGGTTCACCAATACTGAGTAAAGTAGGTGAAGTCTTACCTTTGAAGCAGTGAGAAGCATCATGGTGCATTTCTCAAGCACAGCCCTAGCTGCTGCCATTCTAGCTTTTTTCTTTTCATCCTTTAAATCCTATGTAAAGAAAATGAAAACACTGAGTATTCTTGGATGATAGCTGAAGAAATTAGCTACTTATAAAGAAAGAAAAGGACCAACCAAAAGGAAAAAAGTTGTCTTTTTTTTTAAGCAGCTTTATGATGTGAGAGTCTTGAAATATTAGTCTATTCCCAACAGACAACTTCTTGGAAATCTAGAGTACGTGCAGAATTATGACATCACAAAACAATAAAGAATGAAACCTGAGCAACTGAAGGGGGAAGACATTTTATGTCGGACTATTTGAAAACTATATTTTATTTCTGTTACCATCCATTTGAGTCAAACTCCTGGAAGAAAAGGTCTCCGATATATTCAATATCCCAGAGCCTCCAGCTATGTCCTAAGAAAGCTCCCACTCCTTTAATTTGCTATTCCAAAGGAGTCCTCTTGAATAAACAGGAAGGCAAGACATGACATTTCTAATGTAAAAACCAAGCAAAAAAATCCATCCCACAATAAAACGGTGTGCAGGGAAGTGAGAGGGAAAGGCAGAGGGAGAAATCAGACCCTCAACACATCATAAAGCAAACAAAAAGCATAAACCCAGCGCTTTTTTGTTAGGTCACCTTTGAAAAACTTGCCAAACCAAAGAATCTTCATAAAGAAAGATGCTATAAAATTATTCTTCTTTTAAAAAGAATAATAGTATTATGTAATTACAACCTTGGTAGTTAAAATATTAAGTGCATAAAATTTTACTTGATGAAATACTTATCTGACTTAGCTAGAAACCAATCTATTTGTACAGAGAGGAACTCAATAGTAGCAGAAATTTGTCAGGAACTTCCGAGGAGAGGGATGTGTGTCACTTAGCCCAGGGAAAGTAAGCCCTGCAAGAGGAGAGAATTTGAGGGCTATGAGCTGGAGAGAGGAAAGATGCTCAAGACACATTAAAGTCATTACAAGAGCAAAGAGTTAAAGATAAAAAAAAGTCTTTCACACACCAGCAGAACTCAGTTGCATAGTGTCTTAATCTTTAAAGAACTGAGAGCCCTTTCATCACTCCAGCTCAAATACTCTTAAATTCTTCTTTGAGCAGATGATCATATGGGTGTTCAACCGTAGGCTGTACACTTGCCTGTGACCTCTCCAATGGAAATTGTAAATAGCAGCATCCACAAGACTATGCCTGCACAGTGCAGAACCTAGTGCTCCCAGGCAAGGGCATATAGCTAGGTGCAGACTCACCACCACTCCAACTCCTCCTCCTTCTCAACCACTTGAGGCTCAAAATAGAGCAACTGCAGAATGCTGCTTCCTAGATGCTTTTTCACCTTTCTTACTTATTTGCTTCAATGATTATTTATTATTTTTTCTAGTTTTGTTAATTTTTCTTAGTTGTAGCACAATTTTGTGCTGGGGGGGTGACGGGTTCCCCATGGGGTGCCGCCTGGAACTGGGGTGCCACTGAGCCCCCCAACCCACCAGACTGGGCTCCCACTCACCCTATAATGCTGTGACAAGCTGCAGACACGCTCCCAGTCTCACACTTTCACCAGCACACAGGTAGGGACACACCCAGCTGTAGTAACATGCAGTCAGGCTTTCTGAACAGCCCCTGCATGGGGAGGCTATACAGCTAGGGCACTTACCAGCTTCTCAGGTGCACACCCCCTCTGGAAGGTAAACCACAAATTATACTGTCTTGTGCTGCACAGGGAACTGTACAGCGTAAGCTCATGAAATTCACACACACCCCCCAATCTTGAGAGGAATATTCACAGCTTTCTGCCCCAAGTTATGAATTCCACACTCTGGTTTTAGACAAAACAAAAACAAGTTTATTAACTACAAAAGATAGATTTTACGTGATTATAAGGGATAGCAAACAGGTCAAAGCAGATTACCTAGCAAATAAACAAAAACGCAGTCTAAGCTTAATATACTAAAGGGATTGAATATGAGAGCATCAAATTCTCACTCTAAATGATGATTTAAGGCAGTTGCTGATTCTTAAAGAGCAAGCTGCACATGCTTGCAGTTTAAAACCCCATGTATTCCTTTCATAAATCCCTCTAGTCTCGGTTCAGCCCTTCCCTCCAGTTCAGTCCTCCTTTCTCAGGTGTTTTCACGAGTCTCTTTGTGCAGGGAGTCAGTGAACCATCACCATGATGTCACTCCCCTGCCTTAAATAGCTTTTGCATATGGTGGAAACCCATTGTCTCCAAGCTTAGTTCCCACGCCTTTCAGTGGAAAAACACTGGTATTCCAAGATGGAGACCATTGCCACGTGACTTGGTCACATGTCCCTGTAGGGTCACAGCAGCCATAACTCAGAGGCTGTTTGTAGCATCCTCAGGAAGGCTCCCCAGTGGGAGATTAGTTTCTTCTAAAACCTATTGTTCTCCCTAATGACCCTTCCCAGCCAGCTATCTAGACTGATTACATTCTGCCTAGTGGGCGTTCTCCAGGAGTAAACACAATTGTAATAGATGCACAGACAATATTCCTAACTTCAGATACCAAAATGATACATGCATACAAATACGACAATCATATTGAATGAATCATAACCTTTTCAATGATATCTTACATACCTCATAGTTAGGCCATAATCATATCATAACAATATCTCTATGAAGATCACCGCTGCTCCAACTCCTTCTCAGCAACCTGAGGCTCAAAATAGAGCAACTGAAGAATGCTGCTTCCTAGCTGATTTTTCACCTTTCTTTCTTATTTGCTTCAATAACGCTATTTATTTTATTATTTTTTCTAGTTCTGTTAATTTTTCTTAGTTGTAACACAATTTCTTGACCTTGCAGGCTTTGTGGTCTATGACACTTCCCTGGACTATGCCTAAGGCCTCAAGGTACAAGCCCTATCAAACCTGCCCACAAATCTTTTCCTCATAGCAACAAGCACTCCAGCTGTCTGCACTGCCTTGGAGAATCTCATATCCCATCCAAACGCAAAGTCTACTCAGAGTTTAAGGGCAGGTCCCACAAGGATAGAGAGGCTAGATTCAAGCTCTTCCTAATGGAATGCTCCTCATCTCCCACGGGTCTGATTCCCTCTCCCTCACCGTACCAGTGACTTCCAGTGCTCGGGGGCAGTTTCAGAGATGAAGGCCACTAAGAGAAGAAAACTCCTTTTTCCCCACCAAAGACTCTCGAAAGAGGAGTAAGTCACCTCTTAGAGCAGACTAATGGGTACAGCCTAGGCTCCAGCTGACTCTAGTACCAAGATTTTGGTACCGCCTAGATGTCGTCTCAATTGGAGAAATCATCAACGAAGCAGCACCAAGAGGCACCTTCCTCTATACCATCTGACACCTCTAAGCAGTGAGATTCATCTAAGACCAGAGACTCTTAAGAAGACCACTTCAAGGGCACTGGTACAGACATCCTCTTGGAGCCAGAGAGACCTTCAGACCAACTGCTGGATCTCTCAGTACCATCTTCCTCTTGACATAACCACTCTAAGCACTGAGACATCACCTCATCCACCTCTCCACTACCACATGCATCTCTAGCCCTGCAACCATCCCCATTTCAGGCCTGGTACCGCATCAGGCTCCTACTGCTCGTTATCATAGCCCTCCAATGCCCTCCAGATTTCTTTCTCCCAAGGATCCCATCACAGATGAACTGCAGTACCCTCTCCTAAAGGGCACTGTAAGAGACTCTTCCCCATTGCCACTTCAACAGTTGGTTACTGAACCCTTACTCGCAAGAACAAGACCTGATTCACTGCCTTCAGTACCAGCACCGATGCCCAAAGACTCACTATTCAACTCGGAAGATGACATCCTCAGACTCGGAGGTTTTCATACAGGGCTCTATCTCAACACTTACCAACACCACGCCTCTAGAGACATACCCTGAGGAAGACTTTCTAGAGCCCAGCAGATGCCCTAGGTTCCCTGAGCACAAATACCTGTGGGGATCCTTCCCCTATCCACCTCTACAGTGGGACTACTGGAACGCCTGGGTAGGTTATGGCACCCAATCTTACAGGGTACCAGCCTACAAGAAACAACAGCAGGAACGCCTGCCAGTACTGCAACAGCCACTGGCACTGCAAAATAGCCCACCAGTACTGAATGTTTCCCTGCTACCCGAGGAGACTCACGAGGAGCGAGAGCCACCAAATGAAGGGTTACCCCTTTCATCCAAGTCTTCCTTATCCCTGACAAGGCAACGATGCTCCTGCTGCCATCGTCTTCTTATGCAGATGACTTTTGGGCCTTCCAGGACTTAATGAAGTGGTTAGCAGAATCCCTCCAGATTCCATTGGAGGATGTACAAGAGCCTCAACATTCCCAGGTGGACATTTTACATATCATCCCCCCAGAGTAGGATATCCCTACCCATGAATGAAGCACTGTCATCACCAGCATGTAATCTATGACACTACCCCATCTACTTAAAAGAGTCAGATAAAAATATTACATTCCAGTCAAGGGAATGGAGTGTTTCTTAACTCATTGCCCCCCCAACTCTTTGGTTGTAGACATGGTCAATGATTGTCAAGCCCGCTCCAGATTCTCTCCTTCTGAGAAGGTGTTTAAACACCTAGATTTCCTGAGTAGGAAAAGCTGTTTGTCAGCTGCTCATCAATTTCAAATCGCGAACTACCGGACCTTGATGGTAAAATATGATTTTTAACAACTATTCAAAGTTTGCTCATTTTCTAGAACAACTGCCACAAGACCAAAAGGAACAATTTCCAGCCCTCATTTCAGAGGCTCAGTTGACTGCTAAAGCTTCCCTGTAGGCTACTCTCAGTGACACTGACATGGCTTCACAGTCCTTAGCCACCATTTTAGTACCATCTGCAACAGGTCTACAAAGCCCCCAGAAGAGGATTACCCTCCTCTACAACCACCCAGCCTGCACCTTTCTAAGTGATTATTTTGACAATATGGTCAAGGGCCTCAAACAATCTTTTCCTCCAGACCCACCAACTGCACCATTCTGCCATCTATCCTCCTTCTGGAGATTGCCTATTCCATTCCCTACAAACCTGGG